GGGAGGGAGGGAGGAGGATGGTGTGGGGGAAAGGTGAAAAAAGAGGGAACTAGGGGGTAGGAGCAGGGAAATGGGGATAGGGCACCCATCCCCTCCTCTACCTTCAACATCGATTTACAACAGACGCCAAAGTTAACCGCGTGTGGTTTGACCTTGCTGCGGGGTAGTTGTTAATTTGTTTATAACTATTTGTTTACTTTAGCTCAGTGTGATCTTGCAAGGGACATACATTTCTTTTACTTTTTTTTTGTTTGTTTGTTTGTATTAGGATGTGAATTGCAATACAAAATAAACACAGAAATCAGTAGTTACAGAGCATGCAAGTTATTCTACAAGTTTAGTACCAATGGATATGAATTTGTAATATAAAGTTAGATATTTCTCAAGCGCTATGTATATCAGCTGATTTTAAGTCGTAGATCATGATTAATATTCGGCCATTTTTCCAGAAATCAATATGGAAGGAAAAATAAAGACCATAATTTCAACTGATTATTATTTTTTAAACTACACAACACATTAAGGCACTTCCTTCCGATTTTTCTTTTACACATTCAATCCTAAATGAAAACAATCAAGCCAGTAAATAAAATAAGCTCAGACAGTCCTCTTTTTGGTATTGACTGTACTAGTTCGTAACTAGTATCCTGAATCTCGATTGTGACAAAGAGAACCATATAAGCTTCACAAACGTTCATGGTGCATTGGCAAAGCGATCGTAATCAGCGAGAACGAAAATTTCGGTGAGCCCCACCTTTGAGCTGCATCCCGCATCAAAAAGGCGTAGGTTATGTTAGGCCACGTGACTTATTTTTCTTTCGACTTTCGTTCAATTGTAGCGCTACTACACTTTGCCTTTGGCCGTCTATTTCCCGTAGAGCGTGGATTATCTAGTTTATCATCTTGCTAATAACATCAGTCCGTCCTTCGAGGACACTATCAAGAGGTAATCCCGATCCCGTGTTGCCGTGTCACTATTTTTTTTTATAATTATTCTGACAGGAGATTGACGTTAAGACTATATTGTTAGGATTAATGTAATTGAGCAAAGAGCGCAAGCTGGTCTTTTTGAGCTTGAATTTCTCCATTTCTGACTGCCAACGAAAACTAAAATTTCAAAGGCTTTTGAAATTATCGGTAAACCAATGTAATTTTCAGAAATATATCTGAACGTCGGAGGAAAAACTAAAAGATTCAGCACGATCAACCTAATCTAAACAGAAAAGGAAATGCGTGGCAATCTCAAGATAACTCACACCAAATACTGTTTAGTATTCCACTGAAAGCGAGTAGATAACCTCTCATAGTAACGTGGTAAATACATCTTCATTCGAGGTTGATATGAGCAAGAGTTTTCCAAGACCTCTGGCAAGTTTAATAACTGCATAATTAATCGTACACTATGTGGATGTACTCTAATTTTATGTCTATACAAGCGTGCGTACGCCAGTCTAGGCATACGGGTTTGTATGCGTGAGGGGGTTGTGGATATTCGTCTTCTATCTGATTCATTGGATCGATCCCTTAAAAATGTGTATGCCGACTGGTTAAGTATTGCAATAAATGGAAGTCCAGCTATATTTTCTAATATTAGCCTTATGTATTCTAATATATTACGGAACAAACCATTTATCTGTTCATGGAAGTTGGAAGCGAATTGTTCCGTCATTATGCAAATAATTCGTTTCATTTGTGTCCAGCATAGTACTTCGGACATCGGTCAGCAAGAGAATTACAATATTTTGACGGTGTACTTTTACTGGTAGTTTCATTTTATGTTAGTCAAGTGTTCGGGGAACTCCCTACTTACATCTAACAATGTGTCTGGATTATTTGTATTAGTTACTTCCAAAATTTTTGCGTTTTCATTGGTCAAGTCTCATGGCCACATGGTCCTTTTTATTTTTTAATAGGTTTGGAAAATGACTTTCTTTGTGATAGCAAAGCTTCCTTTAATGTGCAGGTATTTTCAAATGAAACCTTTGTTACACAAAAAATCGCATTTATTCATACATGTACGGACTGTACAGCCAGAAATAAAATCTTAAAATTAAGTAAAAAATATTTGTATGAACTGTCCAGAGTACAGCGAAATGCCCTGTACACAGGAATGCTTCATAAGAACTATACATTTTTTTGTGTGTGACATGCATCACTTTTTTGTATTTTCCAGTTTTTATAAATATTTTGAGTATACAATTAAGTGGCAACTTGAGGACACGGGCTCAGCTGCATTCCAGAGGCGGCAGCGGCAACAGTTGTCGCAGCAGCAGCATCGAGGACTTGTGCAGCAGCGGTAGTCAGCACTTTCGTCTTAGTACTCTGTGCCGTTCCACGTGTTGTGTTCGTAGTTCCGACGTCCCTCAGTATGGCTGGTGCCTCGTCTGTTGCCGCCCACGCTGGCTCTTCCCATCGTACCCTTGGCCGCCTGGTAAGGGCCAACACCGCCATAAATAATCAGTCTCGTTGAACACTAATAGTAAAAGTTGCCCCCCAAATATGATATATTTCTATGCTCAACCATCCTGAATTCTTGGGGCGGACATGCACAGGACTAGGTATGCATTAGAAAAAAGTAAAATTATACAGTTTATAAACATTTTATCCTACCACTCAAAATTCACTCATGCAATTCGCCATTTTTGTTTCACATTATCTATACACAATCAAGAGCCTGATACTTACCATAGTTACCCGAATAGCCTCCACCGCCATAGCCATAGTAATCATTGCCATAGCCATAACCACCATATCCCCCATAACCACCATAACCGTAGTCGTAGCCACCTGAAAGTGCGGAGAAGCACGTAAGACTACGTTTTTTTTTTTTCTTTTTTTTTTTGGACTCGCCCCCCCTTTTCATACTAAGATTCAACAAAGAACAAAACAGGCGGACGAATAGTGGCTAGGGGTCTTGGTTCAGATTTTCTTAAGGTTCCACATACCACATCCCACTTCTGAACATTTTAGTATGGGAAACCTTAAGACAAATCTCGAACTTCGCTGTCTCAAAAAATATTAAGGTACAGAATAGTAAAACTCACCGTATCCGCCATATCCACCACCATAGCCGCCCTGGCCATAGTTGTAGCCTCCTTGGCCCCAGTTGTTGCCCCAGCCTCTTCCTCGGCCGCGCATGCCGCCACCGCGCCCTCTCATACCTCCACGCATGCCGCCTCGCATCATGCCCATAGCATCAGGCTTGGGTGTGGCCTTCTTAACATCAACCTCATGGCCGCTGATGCTCTGTTTGGGGGTCTTCAACAACTCTGTGACAACTGATTCCTGTTCAAAGGTGATGAAGCAGAAGCCTTTGCGCTGATTCTTGGTCTTGTCGAATGGCATTTCAACTTCGACAATGTTACCAAACTGATTGAAAAAGTTCTTGATCTCGTCGTCTGTAAGTTCGGGCTTCAGGCCACCAACAAAGATCTTGCCATGACGTGCTTTGGCTTTCTTGGGGTCGACCTTCTTGCCATTAATGACGTGGTCTCCAGCATTGATAACCTGAAACAATATAAAATTATGCAGGGGAAATTTCCATCAGCTATCTGAAGGTTCAAGATTACATCCCATCTTGTCAAGTTCTGTAACCCTAATTCGCATGAGGTACCGAAAATGCAATGCCAAAGTAGAAGGTATAGAGGATAATCCTCTTTCAAGGTTAAATGCAATCTTAGGAAAGACCATTTGGTAACTTCTTCCCATTGCCAACCTTTTTCTAAATAGATGCAATATCTCAATACAAATGGAGCAACATGGGTAATCTTTCAATTATCCTATCCATCATCACAACTCACCTTATCAATAGCATCTGAGGTGTTAAATACAATGAAGGCAAAGCCTCTTGATCTTCCAGTGTTGGGGTCTGTCTTGACGTTAATGCTTTCAATGTCGCCATATTTGCTGAAATGTTCTCTAAGCTCCTCTGAAAAGGCAAAAAATACTTTAGTACACGTTGAGATTTCTTTCATAAAACCTAGGATATTAAACCTCAGTATGTGGTAAGATGTCTTCTTGTTACTCAGAAGCAGAACTGAAATGATCATCATGACAGGTATATTGCAATGTATTTCAAACATTTCATAAATCAACAAATTTGCAATATTACTTACTTTCAGTCGTTTCCCAACTGAGGCCACCAACAAACAATTTCCTGAAATGGAACAAACTATTAGAAACCTTGTAATGGTAGGTCATTTGAAGTGACTTCTGAATCAAATGTACTGTACCTTAAGGTGAATTTCTGCTTCAAGATTAAGATGGCAGGGAGCTTACTGCACAAATCTTTAACCCACTTCAGCACGTCAACTAGATGGCAAAATCGACTGGCTGTCTGCTTTAAACATTATTCTGAAAACAGTCTGGGCAAAACATGGGAATAGGGGAAAATGATCAACCAAGATGAAAATGGATGTGTTTGGCTACAGAACCTGGACCACAAAAGGAGAAAAATAAAAAATAAAAGAATAGCTAAGACCAAAGTGAGTGTTGACCGTGAATCACTAAGATAACACAAGATAAATACCCTGGTGGTGATGCGGCGGGCTACAAGGGGGCAACATTCTTCCCGAAGTAGCTGCCACCTGGGAGGAAGTAAACAAGTCGCCGTTAGTTGGGTTTTGTTTTCCCTCCGGTGTGCCACAAAGCCTTTCTTTCTTTTCTTTGTCGTTACGTTACCTTTATTTGCTTTCTCTTTACTTTACCAGTTCAGTCTTTGGCATTTTAAGAGACCAGAGAACAAGAGCTTCCATCACTTAATGTTGCTGGGACTTGACGCAACGAGGACGTTTTATACTGTTTACACAATTTCTACACTGACGTTGACATGCGTCATTTTTTTACGTTACTGTGCTCAGCAACTGCAATGTGGTTGGAACAAAAAAAAAAAAAAAATACGTAAAACTGTACAGATTTCCCCACCCGAGTATCAATTGTAACAAAAGACCACAAATGGCTTCCAAGGGGCATCCTGAGAAGGTAAAGACTGTACCGAAATGTAGGCCGTTTACAAATGTATAATCTTAATAGTACGAACCGAGATCAAAAGATTCATTCTCGAAAAAAAGTCAACGAACCAACCCGAACTTTGTGTATACACAAGGAGAGGAGCATGAATGATACAATTATGATAAGGATATGTGAATAGATATATATATAAATGATCGAGTAAAACCTGGAAATTAGAGAAGCTTAAATTATGAAATTATAAAAATAAAATGATTACAAACATGTTCATGATGCTTAGGGTCTGTAAACTCCCTGGATTTGTTACTTTAGTAGGAAAAAAAGGAAAAAGAAACTTCTAAAAACCAAAAGGGTAACTAATTTACTTTCATTCGTCTACAGTTTAACATTTTAGTACCAGGGTGTTTCAGAAACTTGAGCATTTAATATATTGGATAGGATGCGGTTTCATGGCTCCAGCCTACATAGTCGGTACAGTCGCTTTTCTTTGTCACTAAGTATGTTCGGCCCCAGGATCGTTCCATCCCAGGGTCGGTTCAACACTTGGGAGATTGACTCGTTAATTACCACTCACACTGGCTTAAAACTTAGCGGATGGCGGAGATATTCGCCGATTGAAATGTTACACTTCGGGATTCCTGAAGGGATCAGGATGTCCCCATACGAAGCCTCAAAAGCCCATTTAAACAAGCGTAGTAAAAAAAAATACAAAAACTATTTTCTGACTGAGTTGATGCTTTAAGAATTATTCTTTATGAAAACTTAACGTTCAAGAAACGAAGATAAGCGTCACAACGTACCTGTCGTCATCCCTGCCCGGAGCGTCCGCCGCGCCGCTGTCTGTCCTATTTTCGGCGTTTGTCTCCTGTGCAGGCTGAGCGTCGCCGTTCTCCATACCGTTGCCCTGGAAGTCGCCGCCCGAGTAGTCCTCGGAGAAGTCCTGTTGTTCCATCTCCTGGTCAGCCATATCTTAACAAGAGTTAATTTTTTTTTTACTTAAGAATAAGCGTACGCGTCCGTCACGTATGAAGTCCAGCGGCTGAGAGAGGTTGGAGCGACCCCGTCGATCGATCTCAGAGGAAAGAGACTCGTTTCGTGATGTCATCGTTGCCTCGACCAATCAGCACGTCGGAACGCTAATACTGCGAGCTTAGGCCGCACTGCGCATGTGCCAGCTATGACGCTTCTCTTCGGCGTTGCTTCTTGGGAATTTATCGATTTTATTTTGTTTCCTATATTTTTTGTCCCTAAATGGCTGGGCATAATGTACGTATGTATCGAACAATCAAATGAACTAAAAGTCACTGATGCAATGTAAGATTAGATTCATATTCAAAGCTGAACGCTGTTCTCATAGTTCGTGTGAAAAATTAGAGTGAGGAATATTTTGTTTAGCAAACAAAGTATTGTTTTCTTAAGTCAATACGATTCTGCATTTTAAACAATTTAGGTAAAAGACGCCATACGTGCAAAACAATCTATAAATAACCAATTCCTTTGAAAAAAGGGGGTGGACGCATGACATCCTTTTGAAACGTACCTCCCCTCAGAAGCTGCCATACGCTGTATTTTATTTAATAACATATAAACCACTACTCTCTATTGAAACTACTCATCTCCCGTGAAGAGCTAACTATTTGGTTCTATTAAAGATAATAGAAACACTGAAGTCGGCCGTATAAGTGAGTGGATATGTTAGTTAAGCCCAAAGCCAGAGTTGGGTACATTTAAAGCATGGATTCCCTATAGCGTCACCCTCTCGGCCTACTGTATGGTTCATATGTGAAGACGGATGTTTACTTTTTCTCGTTTGAATCATGGATCTCCTAATTTCTCAGCTGAAATAATCATTTTGCATTATCTCTTCTACATATGATGCTGATTTTCATAGCATTAAGCGATTGTTCATATTGTTGGTCAAATGCAAACGACATTTACTGTTACAATGTACTAGTAATCTTCAGTACTCGTGATATCTCTAAAAAAAAAAACCTGTTTGCAATACGATATCTAATACCTTTTGATAGGCAAGGGAATTGGATATATAAACAGAAATCGGATATGTTAAAATGCCGATTCATGTCATCATTCTAAAGTAAATCGCCGGTAAGTTTAAATTTGCCGCTTTTATTTACCTTTTCAGTGATAATTTTCGGATTTACTTTCATTGCCGTTGTGCATAAAAACGATATATAAAAATAGAGTGGATGTTGTGAGGGCAAGAAATACTTTTATTTGACCGAAGTAAATCTACAGCAAATTAGACATATACAACATGAAGTAATGGATCCTACGTGTTTGGTTATTGCCGTTCCTAAAAATCTAAACTCCGGCAGTTATCAGATATCACATTAAAGACATGTTATACGACAGTGAGATATAAAATAGAAAGCCTCAGTGACATATGGAAGAAGCCATGAAGTCTGGTTTCAAAACGCCAAAATATATCCGTTTTCAGTCACTTACAAGTAACCATAACTCAGTTTAACTGTTTTTGACGGGCATCAACTTCACATTTCCATCGTCATTATAGTTTCTTCAGGAAAACAGAATATTTCTTCAGGTGCGGGAATCCGAATTTGTTTTTTACGAGCATAGCAAAGATCCACGGCAGACGACACTCGGAAGTTCCCTTGCTAAAAGTAAACAGGCTTTTTGTAGACACTCTCTCACCTCTCTCATCTCTCTTTTTCTTTATCTCTGTGTATCTCCATTTCTCCCAGCTCTTTAAGATTTCTCTTTCTATGTGAATCATTCTCTCTCTCTCTCTCTCTCTCTCTCTC